TGCATTGGAAAAAGGATGACATTTGACATAAAAGAGAGTCCAGTAGCTCCTATCAAGCTCTGGATTCTGTAAACAGGATTGGAACTACTATATACGATTAATCAGTTCAACATTGCTCCTGGCTTTTTCTTCTTCTTGTACCATATCCGTTATTGGACGTTGGCGATCATGTGGCAATCCTGTTTTTATCAGCAGCTACACGAAAAAGTGCTGAGTTTTGTCCAAACCAGTCCCTTAGATTTTAAAGCCACGATGTTCTTCTGCCTGGACCTCGTTTGCCTTCAATCTTTCCCTGGAGGATAAAATGGAGTATGCTGTATTTTTCTAGGTGCCGCATCACATGTCCGAAATATTCTAATTTTCATTTTTTAAATTGTTTTGATGATTTCCCTTGGCTTTCCCAGGCGGCTTATCTTATCTTTTAAATCTATCCATTTATTATTTGTATTAAAAAGGGACAATAAAGCGCAGAAAAAGAAAGACATTGGGGTGCACATAAGACAGCATGCCTAGATGCATATCCCATCCTAACGCTAAACACAGCAGTTGTATTACACCAGAGGTCTTCAAATGTGGCCCTTTTATGACTTGTGGACTTCAACTCCCAGAATTCCTCAGTCAGGCACACGTGCCTGGCTGAGGAATTCTGGGAGTTGAAGTCCACAAGTCATAAAAGGGCCACGTTTGAAGACCCCTGCATTACACTAATAACCAACCTAACACTTGTTTAAAAAGCTTATTTAAAGGTTTTCTGAGGTCATACTCAACTCCTAGAGTAAGAGGTTTCTTCAAAGCTTTTCTAATTTTGATGAGAGTCAATGTGTTTTATTGGCAGTTTTTACAACCTGGGGCAAACAAAATTAACCCAAATCTTTTGAGATTGCCAGATTTTGTGTGATTTCGGCCGTTTGTTGTGGCCTCTCTTATAAAATAGCCTATAGTCCAAGTAGTCCTCAATGTAGGACCACAATTCATCCCAAAATATATATTGCTATGTGAGGTAGTTGTTAAGTGAGTTTTGCCCTATTTTGCAACCTATCTTGCCCCAATGGTTAGGTCAGGGGTAGGCAGCCTTGGCTCTTCTATGACTCGTGGACTTCAACTCCCAGAATCCCTGAACCAGCATGGCTCAGCTTGGAAACCTCTCCCTTTCCCCTCAGCATGGCTGACTCAGGAATTCTGGGAGTTGAAGTCCATGAGTCATAAAAGAGCCAAGGTAGCCTACCCCTGGGTTAGGCGAATTACTGCTGTTGTTAACGTTACTAGCACGGTTGTTAAATGAATCTGGCTTCCCCATTGACTTTTGTTTGTCAGAAGGTCATAGAAGGGGATCACCTGACTCCCGGGCACTGCAATCGTCATAAATATGAGTCAGTTGCCAGGCATCTGAATTTTGAACATGTGATCATGGGGAACCTGCAGTGGTCATTAGTGTGAAAAATGGATATATGTCACTTTTTTCAGTGCCGTTGTAACTTCGAACGGTCACTAAATGAATGGTTGTAAATTGAGGGCTACCTATACTACAAAAGCAGTCAAAACAGAGTAAATAACCAATTGCAGCTCTCCCACTCCCAAAATACCTCAGGGTGATTAGTTGAGTGGTGACCTTTGTAGCAGAGCCTGGTTTGAATCTCTTGGTCCAGTTCCAGTATTCTGGACAATTGGCTCCAGCAGTTTCAGAGACGCTTCAAGGTATCAGTGGCTTCCTGCAGCAAATGTCTTTTTTAATATATATCCTCACTTATCTAATATTCCAAGCTGGCATTCCAATTTAATTCTCCAAGTAACATATAAAGCAGCGGAGTAGCATCAGCAATGAAGACAACACACTGCTTGGTGGCTGCCAGAAAGCCAGTTCCGCGATTAAATAAAATATGAAAAGGGCCTACATTGGAGAGATGGGTGATGTATTAAACCAAAAAAGAAAATTGCCCTAAAAAGAAAGAGTTCTGATATGGAGATGTTATACATACAGGCAGTCGTCCACTTACAACATATATGTTACAACACAATTGGGACCAGAATTTCTGCTGCTAAGCAAGGTGGTTGTTAAGCAAATTCTGCCTGATTTCGCAATCTGTTTTGCTGTGATTGTTAAGCAGATCACTGCAGCTGTGAGTGAATTAACCTGGTGGTTAAACAAATCCAGGTTTCCTCCATTGACTTGGCTTGTCAGAAGCCGGGTGGGAAGGTAACAAATGATGACCCTGGGTTGCTGCAACTGGCGTAAGTACATGCCAGTTGCCAAGCATTTGACTTTGGATCACGTGACCATGGGGAGGCTGCAGTGGTTGTAAGTGTGAGGACCAGTTGTAAATCACTTTTTTTTCAATTGTGTTGCAAATTCAAATATTCACTAAGTGAACGGTTGTAAGTCATGGACTACTAGCAGTCCTAATTAGTGTATCTTTCTTGTAGGTGTAAGATCACTGTCCAGAAATCTTCGTTGGGGGCAGCCTGCTCCAATCCTCACCTCCAAGAGAAGCTTTTGGGAGAACGTAGAAGTAATGCAGTAATTGCAATAAAATCAGCATGTCTCAGCTTGTGTATATGGAAATTTTTTTCCCCTTTTTTCGCTAGTGCAAGCAGAATCATCAAGGCATAAAATGACATCTACAGATTCTGTTTGCACTAGCAAAAAAAATAATAATAATTCCACCTGTGCAAGGTAAGACATGCTGAAATATTGCTGGTAGCTCTGTGGGAGCGTCCATGTAAATTTTCTTAACCGAAGTACAAAGTGCTTTGTGGTTATATATTATACCATAGTTCAACCTGAGCTACAGATTCTTTTCTATCAGAACAATTTATTGCTTTTATATTTTTTTTGGTTGTTGTTAGTGTCCAACCCATCGTGACCCCCTGGACAACGTTCCTCCAGGTCTTCCTGTCCTCTACCATCTTCTGGAGTCCATTTAAGGTCACACCTACTGCTTTAGTGACTCCATCCAGCCATCTCATTCTCTGTCGTCCTATTCTTCTATTGCCCTCAATCTTTCCCAGCATCAGGCCCTTTTCCAGTGAGTCCTTCCTTCTCATTAGGTGGCCAAAGTACTTGAGTTTCAACTTCAGGATCTGGCCTTCTAAAGAGCAGTCGGGGTTGATCTCTTCTAGGACTGACCAGTTTGAGCGCCTTGCAGTCCAGGGGACTTGCAGGAGTCTTCTCCAGCACCATAGTTCAAAGGCCTCAATTCTTTGGCGCTCAGCCTTTCTTATGGTCCAGCTTTCACAGCCATATATTGCACCTGGGAAAACCATGGCCTTGACTATACGTACTTTACACTGGGTATCTAAAATGCTGCAAAAAGCAACATTGGAAGGCTATAACTTTTTCCAGCTGTGGATCTCCAGGCAGGCCTGAAGCTGGTAGACTTCATCTGAATATGGAGGATCCCTTCAGCTGTTGTCACTAGCAGTCCTGGGTAGAGTTTCTCCTACGAATGAAGGCAAATATAGGTATACCAGGATGATGTTGCAGGATCCAGTCTGGGTTGATCATCGGGACTAGAGGTTTTGTCTTCCAAACTTCTCCTCTTCCCTAATTTTGAATTAAAGCCATCTAAAGTAATGATGGCTACCACATTCTTTGCAAAGTTTTTCTCTTTGCAAAGCTTAACTTTACAGTTCTGGGCTTGTCAATTTTTTTTATATCATTGGCTGTGTCTTCTCTGACTACTCTCTTTTTTTATAAGGGTTTGGCTTGGCCATCTCTGATTCTGCCTCTCCTGGGCAGCCTTTTCTTGGTGCACCTGGCAAAGGTCAATAATTCTGCATTTTAAAAATAAGGAAGATAAAAAAGCTGATAGTGTTGCATGGAAAACGGTACCCAAAAGAGGGGGGGGGAAGCACATGATTGCTTTTGGCCCAAAGTCTGTTTAAAAAAAAAACAAAAAACAGGAAAGCAGATGTAAGCAAGAATTTGATCAATTCTTTTGCGCTCAACCTTTTTTTATGGTCCAACTTTCACAGCCATCCATACATTGCACCTGGGAAAACCATGGCCTTGACTATCACTGAAAAAAGTGGCACATGGCCATTTTTCACACTTATGACCATGGTCACATGATCAAAATTCGGATGCTTAGCAACTGGCGTGTATTACGGTTGCAGTGTCCTGGGTTTATGTCGGGTGTCAAACTCAATTTCATTGAGAGCCGCATCAGCATTGCAGTTGCCCTTGGGGGGACAGGTGGGTGTGGCCAAGGTGGGTGCGGCATACTAGGTGGGCATGGATGGAGTGGGTGTGGCCTACTGGGTGGGCATGGCCAGCTCTACATCATTTGCGTCAAGGGTGCCTGTGGAGGCCTGGGCAGAAGGGGGACAGATCTGAGGGTCTCTGGCAGAAGGGGGGGGGACCGGGGCAAACGCCAAGGCATGGTCCATTTCTTCATTCCTCACAAAGGGTGACACCTCCCCAGCATGCACCCAGGGGCGGGGCCGACACGGCAGGGGCTGGTTGCTCGCTGTTTCCAGACGGCCTCATGGAGCTAAGACTGAATGCATTTCAGCATAGATGGCCACCACAAAATTATACATTGGCTCCTGGACAGCCTGGGCCAAGGCCAAGGCAGCGGGGGCCGTTCCCTCACTGTTTCCAGGATGGCTTCGCAGGCCACATGAAACCACTTCGTGGGCCACATCCGGCCCCCGGGCCTTGCATTTGACATGTCTGGTTTATGTGATCCCCTTCTGCGACCTCCTGACAAGCAAAATCAAAGGGGAAGCCAGATTCACTTAACAACCGTGTTACTAACTTAACAGCTGCCGTGATTCGCTTAACAACTATGGCAAGAAAGGTCGTAAAATGGGGCAAAGCTCTCTTTGCACCTGTCTTGCTTAGCAACAGAAATTTTGGGCTCAGTTGTGGTCGTACATCGAGGACTACCTGTATCCACCGGTGTAATGCTCAGGTGGGAGCCAATGGAAGCCCCCAGTTGTAAGTGAAGAGTTGAAGATCAGCGATCAACTGGTCCCACTGATCTTGTTCTCTCTTTTAGCCCATCGCTGAGTGGTCTCACTTACCCCCCAAGGATGCTGCTAAGATGCCTGAAAGTGCCTGGAAACTGTCTTTCTATTGCATCTCCTGGTTATATGGCACTTACTTGCTCTTCTTTGCTGGATACCCCTTTTTCCATGATCCACCTTCCGTCTTTTATGGTATGGTAAGATTGTGGCCATATTGGGGGTGGGGGGTGGGAAAGCTTTTATTTAGAGCAGGGATGTCCAACCTTGATTTAGGGAATGTGACGTTGGGTCATTTACATTTGGTAAATGAGCCTAGTGCTGCCTCCCCATATAATGTAACCCAGAAGTCTGGAAGGATAGCTTCAAAAACCTTGTTTGTTTCACCTGAAGTGCTTCCAGGCTTCATGGGAAGGGGGGGGGGGGACAGAGAGCATCCCTAGCAAACAGTTCCTCCCATTCAGGAGAGTTCTTTCATTTTAGACGCTTTGCTGCGAGATTTTGAAGCAGAAACAAAATTGTTAAAAAAAAAAAAAGTTTGCAATTCAGCCTTTGGGGATCGGACATTTTTAAAAGTGAAGTTTGTGCCTGGGCAGGGTGTTTGATTTCTTTAAAAATCAACAGCCTCTTTTTAAGTGTAAACTGCTAAAGATTTGCAGAGATACAAATTAGATAAGTATTTTACAAAGGCTTTTTTTTTTTTAAAGTTGGCCATGGGTTAATAGTAAGGGTTTTTATACGAGTCGCCTTCTAGAAATGTTAGATTTCCAGTGAGATGAGGCTGCTTAGTTGAGGGATGGGATGGGATTTGTAGTACAGATTAGAAGTGGCCTGTGAGTCTGAAAGGAATGAAACCAAATGTCCTTTGTTCAGGGAAACTCTTATGTATTTAATGTAGAAGTTTGATAAACAAATTAATAAAATTGACATTTTTGAAGATACCTCAATACCAGTGTTGTATGTTTGATGCTGTAATAAATTGTGGACATCAATTTTAAAAGCTGATACCTCCCTAGACTTATTACTACAAGTTTCTTTGCATAATGAATTACAATAACTATTTATTATAATAGTAAAGAAAGCTTTGCCTGAAGTTATAAAAAAGAAATCTAACACATTTCCAAGGTGAATAAGGGATCTGTTGTTGTCTTAAATAGTTTTTTTTCCTCCCCAGAATCCAAAATATGACTGAATTCCTGTAATTTTCATCTCTCCTGTCATTAGATCTTAATTGCAGTCCTCTTGACCACAATGCTGGACTCAGCTTTTATGCATTAGCTGGTCTGACAAGCTCAAAAGCATCTACCGGTAGTCCTTGACTTATGACCGTAATGGAGCCTGATTCATCACAGTTGTAAAACGGGTCAATCGGGACTGTGATGGATTTGATTTTGCTACCTTTTTTGCCGTGGTCATTAAACAGATGCGGTCATTAAGCAACCCACCTTGTTCGCTATTGGCAACGGTTTTGCCGAAAATCAAAAGCAAATGCTGGTTTTTAACAAAACCAAAGTGTGGTCATCTGACTTCAGTGGGGGACAACAATTAGAACTTCAAATCCAGGTCGTAAGTAGCCCCAAGGTACTGTAGGTCCGTCCTAACTTCGAATGGCCACTGAGCAAATCGGTCGTCAGTCGAGGACTATCTGTACCTACATTTGCAAACTATTTGTTTGGTCCTGATCAAAGCAATTGCCTGACAGGAGACTTTGCTGTCTAATGTAGGGCCTGCTCACTCCCATCAGGCCAGCTCAGTTCCTTGGTCTTTTGTGTAATTCTGAGTCTTTTAGATGCTGCAGTTGTGTGGAGCTCACCTTTTCTTCTTTTTCTGCCTGGTGTTCCAGATTGGGAAAGGGGAATGGAGGTGCCCTTGGATATTGCACTCACCTACCTGATACAAGGCAGTTTTTATGCCCATTCTATATATGCCACCCTTTACATGGATGCCTGGCGCAAGGATTCAGTCGTCATGCTCATCCACCACGTGGTCACCCTGACCCTCATCGTGTTCTCCTATATCTTCAGGTAATTTGTCCGGGCGCATCCAATGGCTGCTCTGCTGCCAGCTGACTATCTTCATTGGCTGAGCTTCGGTGATGTCACAGGATGGTCACAGTACAGGTGGTCCTCGACTAAACAACCACAATTAAGCCCCAAATTTTCCAAAACATGAGCCAGTTGCTAAATGTCTGGATTTTGATCATGTGATCATGGGGAAGCTGCAACCATCATAAATGTGAAAAAAATGGTCATAGGTCCAGTTTTTCCCCCAGTACTATTGTAACTTTGAATGATCAGTAAACAAATGGTTGTAAGTCGAGGACTATGTGTATAGGGGAGTTATTCCAGTCCCCCCTTTATTCAAAAAAATTTGTAGCTCAGAGGAGAGCTAAACAATGAATTGCCCGCGTGTGACTGCACCAGGGACATAGGGCGTTCCCTCATTTTGTAATCAGGACAGACTATAAATAGTCCTCAACTTATAACCTTAACTGAGTCCAGAATTACAGTCATAAGGCATGGTTGTCATTAAGCAGGTTACCCCACAGTGTTTTCAATTTCGTGACCTTATGTTGTGTGGTCGTTACGCAAACACCATGGTCCTTAAGCAAACTCACTGTACTCAACGGGCGTTTTTTGCAGGAAACTAAAAATCAACCCAATCCGTTGCAAGTCGAGGACTACCTGTATTCTAATGCAAAACTCCCATTTGCCAATGCCAGTTCTAGCATGACCAACACTGCAACACTTGTATTGTTCTATTTAAAACCTGTCAAATAAGATGCGCTGACATGACTTTTCTCTGGATCGTTGGAGGAAGGAAAAAAAAAAAAAAACGACGGGCCTCTCGCATCCAGGGCCTGCTGAACTGAAATGCTTGGATCCTTTGCGTGGATAATACTGACACTTTTCTCTTGCTCACAGATACCACAACATTGGGATTCTTGTACTCTTCCTTCATGACTTTAGTGACATCCAGCTGGAGTTTACCAAACTCAATGTTTACTTCAAGTACCGGGGTGGCGTTTACCACCGTTTAAATGACACCATTTCTAATGCTGGCTGTGTCTCCTTCAGCCTTAGTTGGTGAGTCTGGTTCTGTCAGCCCTCATTTTAGGGCTGGTCCTCAGATCTACAGGGACCCAGCCTGGAAATGGAGTGGAATATGAGGAATTATTGCAGGTAGTCCATGATTTACGACCACAATTGAACTCCAATTTTCTGTTGCTAGGCAAGAGAGTCATTAAGTGAGTTTTGTCCCATTTTACCTCCTTTCTCGTGAATCACTCCGGTTGTTAAGTGAATCTGGCTTCCCCATTGACTTCTGCTTGTCAGAAGGTCGCAGCAGGTGATAACATGACTCTGGGACACGGCAACCGTCATAAATATGAGCCGGTTGCCAAGCGTCCAAATTTTGAGCCTATTACCAGGGGAATGTTGCAATGGTTGTAAGCGTGAAGAATGGTCATAAGTCACTTTTTTCAGTGCTATTGTAACTTTGAACGGTCACTAAATGAACAGTTGTAAGTCAAGGACTACCTGTAGTTGGCTATTGACTCTTCTGTGGAGCATCGTGGCTCCATCTTCTGCCCCTTTTAAGATAGACTGCTCTTTCTGGTAGCTGCAACTGTCACCAGTCTTAATTCCCTCAATGGCCAAATCCGCCTGTGAATGTTTGGGAAGAAGAATATAGCAGAAAGCCACAGAAGTGATGATGCAAAAATGGCTGTTAAAACAAGAACGTTAATTAAGCCAAGTAAACAGAGATCACCACAGATGGGGGTTGCAGCCAAGAAATTAAAAGACGCTTGCTCCTGGGGAGGAAAGCTATGGCAAATCTAGACAGCATACTAAAAAGCAGAGACATCACCCTGCCAACAAAAATACGTATAGTCAAGGCCATAGTTTTCCCAGTTGCAATGTACGGCTGTGAAAGTTAGACCATAACAAAGGCTGAGCGTCAAAGAATTGAGGCCTTTGAACTATGGTGCTGGAGAAGACTCCTGAGAGTCCCCTGGACTGCAAGGCGATCAAACCGGTCAGTCCTAGAAGAGATCAACCCTGACTGCTCTTGAGAAGGCCAGATCCTGAAGTTGAAACTCAAGTACTTTGGCCACCTAATGAGAAGAAAGGACTCACTGGAGAAGAGCCTAATGCTGGGAAAGATTGAGGGCAACAGAAGAAGGGGACGACAGAGAATGAGGTGGCTGGATGAAGTCACTGAAGCAGGAGGCATGAGCTTAGATCAGTGGTTCTCAACCTTTTTAATGCCGCGACCCCCCAACCGTAAGTCGAGGACTATTCAACCGGTCGAAAGTCGAGGACTACTCAACTGGTGCAGCACCGTTTGCAGAATGGGACTTTTGGCGGGCTCAGCAGGACAGAGACAGCCTGGACAATTCCTATTGGCTTTTGAAAGCCAATAGAATTAGACTCTATTCAAGAGAGTCTATTCTATTGGCTTTCAAGAGCCAATAGAATAAAAGGGAGTAGCACAGCTAAGGAAAAGGGGGAAAAAATGGCAGACTGTGTTGTTTGGCGACCCCCGTGAAATGGTCGTTCGACCCCAAATGGGGTCCCGACCCACAGGTTGAGAACCACTGGCTTAGATGGACTCCAGAAGATGGTAGAGGACAGGAAGGCCTGGAGGAACGTTGTTCATGGGGTCGCGATGGGTCAGACACGACTTCGTAACTAACAACAACAAAACAGAACGCATGAGAAAGAAGCTCAGAATGGTCTCACCCTAATTTACTGGGGTATACAGTGAGGTGGGGGTGTGATGGCTTTACGGTTAAGACAGTGGGCTTATGGGCTGGAAAGTCAACAGCCCAGGTTCAAGATCCGCGCACCATTCAACAGGGTGAGCACCCATTCTGGTCCCAGCTCCTGCCCAACTAACAGTTGGAAAGCATGCAAACGCAAGTAGATAAATAGGTACCACTTTGGTGAAAAGCTAACAGTATTCAGTGCGCTTCAGTATATAGTCATGCTGGCCACATAACTACAGAAGCATTTTCAGACAATGCTGGCTCTCTTGGCTAAGAAACAGATGAGCACCGCCCCTTAGGGTTGGACATGACTGAACAAGGGAAATTGTTACCTTTACCTTTATAGCAAGGAGATAAAGGAAAATAGGCTTTTATCATTGATGTCAGCCCTTCGAGGTAGATCAGGTAAAGAAATCTTGACTCCACAAGTTCAGTTTGTTGGCCGCTTGGATCAAGCTACGACCCCTCTCAATAAATAGTAACCAGAGAAAAACCTAGGCCCTGTTCCAAAATTGTTGTTGTTGTTAATTGCGAAGTCGTGTCCGACCCATCGCGACCCCATGGACAACGTTTCTCCAGGTCTTCCTGTCCTCTACCATCTTCTGGAGTCCATTTAAGCTCATGCCTACTGCTTCAGTGACTCCATCCAACCATCTCATTCTCTGTCGTCCCCTTCTTCTCTTGCCCTCCATCTTTCCCAGCATTAGGCCCTTCTCCAGTGAGTCCTTCCTTCTCATTAGGTGGCCAAAGTATTTGAGTTTCAACTTCAGGATCTGGCCTTCTAAAGAGCAGTCGGGGTTGATCTCTTCTAGGACTGACATCCAAAATTAAAACATCTTATTGTTTAAACCAGGGGTGTCCAACCTTGGCAACTTGAAGACTTGTGGAAATTCAACCCCCAGAATTCCCCTAGCCAGCATGACTGGCTAGGAATTTCTGGGACTTCAAGTCTTCAAGTTGCTCAGGTTTGTACACTTCTGGTTTAAATCTGCCTGAATGTTACAGCTTTCTTCTTAAATTTGGCAAACCACCATATGCAATGTAGGTTTGATCCACCTCTTGCCTTTTAACTGAATAAAACCTGGACTCCTTGGCAGGCTTTGATCTGCAAGATTGCTTGTCTTAATTAGCAACTGACCATCCCAGGCATGTGTGCAGAGATGTCCCCGTCCTGGTCTAAATTTGCTTCTGCTACTTTGCTGTCCTTTTTCCAGGTTCTGGTTCCGTTTGTACTGGTTCCCCTTGAAGGTGCTTTATGTGACCTGCCACACCAGCCTCCAGTCTGTCCCCAATATCCCATTTTACTTCTTCTTCAATGGGCTGCTGTTTATCCTCACGCTGATGAATGTCTATTGGTTCCTGGTAAGTAAAGGGCTCCTGTCAGTGGCTGGTCCAGCATTTACCAGCTCTGCTCCAAGCAATGTGAAGCACGGGTAGTCCCTGACTTATTACCATTCATTTAATGGCCATACAACCGCACTAAAATTGTGACTTACGACCAGTTCTCATACGTATGACTGTTGCGGCATCCCCAGTTATGCGATCAAACTTTGGCTGCTTGGCAACTGGCATGTATTTACGATGGTTGCAGCATTCCAGGATGCTGGGTGTAGTAGTAGTAGTGGTGGTGGTGGTGGTGGTGATGATGATGATGATGATGATGATAATAATAATAATAATATGATGGTGATGATGTTGGAAGGGACCTTGGAGGTCATCTAGTCCAACCCCTTCTCAGGCAGGAAACCCTATACCATTTCAGACAAATGGCTGTCCAGTCTCTTTTTAAAAACTTCCAGTATTGGAGCATTCCCCGTTTCTGGAGGCAGATTGTTCCACTGGTTAATTTTTCTCACTGTCAGGAAGTTTCTCCTTAGTTCTAGGTCAGTGATGGTGAACCTTTTAGAGACCAAGTGCCCAAAAACGGTCCCCCGCCCCTGCCTGCCCCCTGCCCCACCCACCCGCAGGGCCACTCACCGCGTCCTTAGCCCACTGCAGCAGATCGCCCAGGCAGCCCTACAGCGCCATGGCAGCCACACCCTCCGCCCACACCCCTCAGCATTATCTGCACGCTATGGGGTGCGAGGGTGGAGTCTTGTCCCTGTTGCCCGGCTATGTACTTGCCTGTGCTGCTCCGTGCGGGCCATGCCTGGGAGCGACTCTCCTCCAGGGGGGCTGCTGGTGAGGAGGGGGCCATGGGGGAAGGCGGGGCTGGGGCAGTGGCGCGCGTGCCCACAGAGAGGGCTCCAAGTGCCACCTCTGGCGCGCGTGCCATAGGTTCGCCACCACTGTTCTAGGTTGCTTCTCTCCTTGATTAGTTTCCATCCATTGCTTCTTGTCCTGCCTTCAGGCGCTTTGGAGAAGAGCTTGACTCCCTCTTCTTTGTGGCAGCCCCTGAGATACTGGAACTCTGCTATCCTGTCCCCACTCATCCTTCTCTTCATTAAACTAGACATGCCCAATTCCTGCAACGTTTCTTATATGTTTCCTAGAGAGCTTCTGACAAGCAAAGTCAGTGCTGGAATGATTCACTTAAGAACTATAGTGATTTGCTTAACAACCATGGCTCAATTGTAGTTGTAAGTTGAGGGCTACTTGTAGTGATGAAGGTGCCAATTAAGATTGGGAAGACTCTGGTTTGATCTCCCTTCAGCCAGGGAAGCTCCTGAGAGAATTGGGGCCTCAGCCCAGCCGACTTCAGAGGGATTGTTGTAGGAAAAAATAATAGGGAGTGCTATATATATACTAATTTGATCCCTCAAATAAAGGAGGGGATATGCATGGCTTTATACATCTTCCCCTTTCTAAAGTTTCTGAGTGATTTACAAGCAGAAAATGCAATAAAATCCAATAACACTCGGAAACAGATCGCAAAGCCATCTGCATTGATAAATCCAGGTCAGCGAAGTAGACTTCCAGACAAAGTGTCACTGCTAAACATGCACCAATTCAACCAAACATAATCACTTTATCTGTTGTGTGGAAGGTTATTAGCAAAGGAATGAGGTGCATCATTAGGAGCCAGTTGTTCCAGCATTTTGGGGCCACTATTGAGAATATCTGCTATAAAGTCTATGTTCATTTACCCCTACACCTCTGCTGAACTCCAGTAATAATAAAAAATATTTATTAACTTGTATGCTACCCAACTCTCAATGATTCAGGGTGGCTTATAGAAGTGAATCAAGAAATTGCAATAAAATTAACAAGAAATAGATAAATTTCCTCCCCTCCTCTACAGCCTGGGTGAAGAACTTATGGCTTTTTGGCTGTTCTAAATGGCACAGTGAGGGCCGTCAGATTTTGGCGGGAAACTTTTTCCAGTGGGAGGGGCACTGCCAGAGAGAAGGAGTGCTTCCAAGGTCCTGAGAAAGAGCCTGTGTGTGTGCATTTGTGTGCGTAGTATAGTCCTATTAAATATAATTGTGCTCTTCATGGGCCTTTTACAGGTAGTCCTTGACCTGCAACCACAATTGAGCCCATTTCTGTTGCTAGGTGAGACAGTTGTTAAGTGAGTTTTGCCCCATTTTACGACCTTCCTCGCCACAGTTGTTAAGTGAACCACTTAACAACTTGTTAAGTTAATAACCTGGTTGTTAAGTGCATCTGGCTCCCCCTTTGACTTTGCTTGTCAGAGGTCTCAAAAGAAGATCACATAATCCCAGGATACTGCAACCATCATAAATATCAAGCATCCAAATTTTGTTCATGAGGATGTTATAGTGGTCATTAGTGTGAAAAAAATGGTCCTAAGTCACTTTTTTTCAGTGCCGTTGTACCTTTGACTAGTCACTAAAAGAATAGTTATAAGTTGAGGACTACCTGTAGTATATACCGTAAATGCCGGCGTATAAGGCGACTTCCGCGAGCGCTGAAATCGGCACCAAAGACGGGGGTCGTCTTATACGCCGAGTCGTCTTATACGCCGGAAATACTGGTAGTTTCCGGCGTATAAGACGACGTTCTAGGAATACGGCCCGACTATAAAGACGGGGGTCGTCTTATACGCCGGGTCGCCTTGTACGCCGGCATTTACGGTACTGTTTTTACTGCATCGATCAGTTGTTTTAAATTCACATGGTTTTGCATGGAACTATTGTTCCCAGAGAAAGAAACCTGAGATGTGTCTGGCCTTTGATCCAGTTTTCTCTGGCAGCAAACTGATTCTAAATGTCCACATCACACATTATTCTCGCATCAGGAAATTAGCTAGGCTAAGAGAGAATCTTAAATCTCTCCATACCACTGAATGTAGATCTGAATCTGGGAGTGGATATACCCATATGCTAAGTGTCAATGCTGCTAACATCGGGTGTTCTTGCTTTGACAACATATGGAGATGTAGCCACTTTCCTTTACTTTATGTTTTACTCTTAGAGCTAGAATTAGGTGATACTAGAGGGGGGGAGCAGGAGGAATGTGCATGGGAGTTTAGTTAAGACATAACAATACTGTATCCTTATACAGTAAGGATACTGAGAACCAAGGTTTTTTGAAATAAGAGATAATAAGAAATGGCGCATTGAAGAACTGGAGGGAAAAACAGAATTTCAAACTAATTGGAGAATGTGATTTATGACTATTAATTAGAGGAGGGAATTGTGCTTTGATACTATGTGCTCAGGGGAGGGGAATTCAGATTTTGGCTTCGGCCATGTGCGTGCTGATGCTATGCTCCTTGAATAAAGATTTTTTTAAGGTAAACAATGCCTCAAAGTTCTTTGAAGAGTTTCATCTGTTGGAACCATGACACTAAGTTGATCCGGCAGGCTGATGAAGCAGGTAAGAGGCCAAAAAGCCTGATGGGAAAATCTGTGATCCAGCAAGCTGATTGGTTCTCCCCTTCTCCTCTCGGCAGTACATTGTTGTTTTTGTGGCCAAGATTTTGCTGGGACAAGTGCAGGAGGTGAAGGATGTACGGGAATATGACGCTGATGCTGCCTCTAAGAAGACAGGCAAGGAGCTTCATCTCCACAACTCTTGGAAGGAAGGGTAAGGATGTTTAGAAGCGATGGGTTTCTGTTCTTTCCTTCAGTTTCCTCCTCCTAATAACAGCCAGTCAGTTGCTTCTGAGTGACATACAAAAACAGCTAAGTTACAACTTGAATCCTGTCCTTAGTATCAGGAATGCCAGTACTTTTCCAGTTCCTCCATATAATTCCCCTAGCAACACCCCAGGTCCAATACAACTAAAAGTTCTCCAAAATAGATTGCAAATACGGTTCTTTCTGCACAGAAAGAAGAAATAGAGAGGAATAGTGAATCTATAGCCCAGTGATGGCGAACCTTTTAGAGACCGAGTGCTGAAACTGCAACCCAAAACTCACTTATTTATCGCCGGGTGCCAGATGGTCATGGCACACTGGGTGGGTGTGGCCAAGGTGGGCATGGTCACCTCAATGGTGCTTGTGGGGAGGGACGCCTGTGGGGGCCGGGCAGGGTTGGGGGAGATCCAGGGGGTCTCTGGCAGGTGGGGCGATGGGCAGGAGGCTTCTCCTGCGGAGTGAGGTGAGGCAAGGCGAGGGAGGGCAGGGGAGCTATTGCTGCAGGGCAAGGCGAGGCCGGGGCCAGGGTGGCTCCTGCCTGACACCATTGACCCCCGCACACAGAGGCCAGTGAGCGCATGGGGGCCAACAGTGTCCATCAGCAGCCACAGCCTTCCAGCTCCTCAGCCGGCGCATTCTGGGGCTCCACAGCCCACCGCCAGCAGTTCAAAGAAGCCACCTCTGAGCTGGACAGCCAGCCGACAGTTGAGGAAGCAATGTAGTGGGTTGTGCCCGGGAAAAGGAGAGCATGCGATGCCAAGAGGGATGGGATGGGGAAAGGAAACCAGCCGTGCTGGGATGCATCCGGTCATGTGGAACCTCGCCAAGTTAGCGGGCGGCTGTTTGAAGAGGGACAGTTGCCATCTCCGGGGCATGGCATGCGTGCCCACAGAGAGAGCTCTGCCACCTCTGGCACGCATGCCATAGGTTCATCACCACTGCTATAGACAGATAAAAGTCCATAAAAAGCATCCCTTCCGTTGCGAATTATGGAATCTAGCTCTGCCTGGATCCAGTTATCCTCCAATATCTTTTTTTTTTTTTTTTTTTGGGACTAGTGTTTTTCAACCTCTGTAACTTTAATGCTGATTGGGGAATTCTGGGAGTTGAAGTCCACATAGCTTTGAAGTTGCTGAGGCTGATAAACACTGACTTAAGAGCAATGGACTTACAACCTTATTTCACGCATTTAACTCCTGGAGGGAGGACCAAGAATAGAATCAGTTCAAGTCCCCTTCGTCTTTCTCTTTCTCAGGCAGGCACTTAATAGGAAACAGCCTGCAAAGTTTTTTTTACTGACAGAGCTGCTGTAAATAATGGAGCAGGTTAAGAGGGAAGAAAATGTTGCCCGCATCTCTTATTCAGAAAGTAATTATAAAAAAAAAAACAGTAAAATTTAATAGTACTGTGCACAACCTCAAAATTAAAAACCGGTGATTCAATTCCACTCTGCAGTAAATAAAAGCAGCTGGAAGAAACCAGTCATTCGGTCTTTTAGGTTAAGCAGGAAAGCCTAAAATAATACGACCAGAAATCTCTGTGAGTGACCTAGCAAAAGACAGACTCGCAGAATGGAATGGAGAATTTGGCAACAGAGAGGATTAAGCACATGTAGGAGAAATGCCAAATGGTGGAAATCCTGTAACTCGGGGCCAAGGATTCAGCCCTCTTACACTTTTCCTGAATGCCAGAATGACGTACATCGACAGCTATCTCAGGATTGATCCAAATATACCGCACATGCCTTGGATTGTGGCCTTATGCATTTCAGGCATGGACCTCAGACACTTATTTATGAATTATGAACGGCCCCTTCTGTTCCATTCAAGTTACTAGTGCCCTTCCTTATCTCTCCATCTGCTGCCTGCCAGAGGTTCTGCATCCAAGGGGCCCCATATCATGGGACCAGAATAACAATAACAGGGAAGGGACCCTGGAGGTCTTCTAGTTCAACCCCTATTCCATTTCAGACAGACGGCTGCCCATTCTCTCCTTAAAAGCCTCCAGTGATGGAGCACCACAACTTCTGAAGGCAAGCTGTTGCACTTGGTTAATTGTTCTCTCTGCCAGGAAACTTCCCCTTAGTTCTTGATTTATTTATTTATTTATGAGACTTATATACCGCTTTAAGTGCAAGCACTCTCTAAGCAGTGTACACCAGTAAGCAGTGTGTGTGTGTGTGTGTGTGTGTGTGTGTGTGTGTGTGTGTGTGTGTGTATATATATATAGGTCTTTGGTTGTTCGGGTTTTCTCCCGCGTAAAATTGGAAGTGTCTTGGCAACGTTTCGACGAAGTCACATTCGTCATCTTCAGGCTGGTGTTTTTAGCTTCTTGCTATATATATATATATATATATATATATATATATATATATATATATATATATATATATATATATATATGTTTTCTGAGGAGTATACGAAATCCCATGCACCACTTGTCCCACCACATACATCGGACAAACCAACAGAAGAATAAGTGCACGCATTGAAGAACATAAGAACTCAGTCAAAAAAGAGGAACCAACATCTTCCCTGGTCCAACACCTTAAAGCCACAGGACATGAAATTGACTTTAAAAATACCAGAACCATTGCCAAAAGTGAACATTTTAATAACAGAATAATCAGAGAAGCCATCGAGATAGAAAAACGCCCACACAGCATGAACAAGCGAGATGATACCTCCCGCCTACCAGCCATTTGGAAACCCGCCCTTATTGACAAACGACTCCCTAACACAAAAAATGATACCAGACCCACACTCACAAAAACCACACAGGATGTCACCACCACACATCCACGCAAAAAGCAAACCCAAAGCCACACCGATGATGAGGCACGACCACAAACCAGAAGCCAGACCAGAGCTGCATCATTAGCCACTTTAAAGCCCTCCAATCCATACATGAAGCAAACTGACACCCTCCATGAAAATGAGGCACGACCACAAACGCGAAGCCAAAAAATAGCAAGGCAGCCCAAAATCTTAAACCCCTCTGCAACTCAGACTAACCTGAGCACAACCAAACAGAACACTCCCCCAGCCAATCAGAGCACAGCCAACCCCCCAGCCAATCAGAGCACAGCCAACCCCCCAGCCAATCAGAGCACAGCCACGCCCCTAACCAATCAGAACACACCTCCACCCAATCAGAACACAGCCAAGCTCCCACCCAATCAGTTCATACCCCCACTGGCAGTTAAAAGGAAGAAACAGCTAAGACCACACATTGCTGCTCGAAGCACGAAGCTGAAAACACCAGCCTGAAGATGACGAATGGGACTTCGTCGAAACGTCGCCAAGACACTTCCAATTTTACGCGGGAGAAAACCCGAACAACCATATATATATTTATTTACATTGCCCCCAACAATCTGGGTCCTCATTTTACCTACCCTGGAAGGATGGAAGGCTGAGTCAACCTTGAGCCGGTGAGATTTGAACCGCTGACCTGCTGAACACAGTCAGCTAAAGTGGCCTGCAGTACTGCACCCTAACTGCTGCGCCACCTCGGCTCTTTGATTGGTCCTCTCTAGGTTGGTGCTTAGTTCTATGTTGGTATCCATTTGATGGATGTTGCAGTGTATCAACAACAAATCAGTTGCTTTTCCTAATAGCACCGGTTCCTAGATTAATAAACCTTCCACTATTAAACATATTATAAATTGGCTGCACTTCATCCACCCATTCCGACCAATTGTAAGAAATGAATACGTATCTTCATTTAAAAAATACTCAATTATATACTTATATTTATGGATACACGTGTACAGCTGTGATATATAGGTAGCCCTCGACTCAAAGCCACAAATGAATGCAAAATTGCTAAGCAAGAGCGTTGTTCATTTCCCCCGTTTTACAACCTTTCTTGCACAATTGTTAAGTGAATTACTGCAGTTGTTAAGTTAGAAAAATGGTTGTTCCAGCTTCCCCATTGACTTTGCTTGTCAGAAGGTTGCAAAAGGGGATCACATGACCCCGGGACACTGCAACCGTCATAAAGATGAGTCAGTTGCCAAGCATTTGAATTTTGATTACATGACCATGGGGATGCTGCAACAGTTGTGAGTATGAAAAACAGTCAAAAGTCACTTTTCAGTGCTGTTCTAATTTTCAGCGGTCACTAAATGAATGGTTGTAAGTTGAGGATTTCTTGTACAGGTGAGTGGGGAAGGGGTGTCCATTGTTCATAATTATTCATTAAGTGCCATCTGCAAGGAAATTGAAAACAATGTGCTGTGTGGCATCAGCAATCCATGAGTTCAAGATTTCATTACAGTTTGAAATGTATTTCTTTAAAACCATCTTATTGCAAGGCTTTGATTAAATAAAAGCCTTTCTAAATATTAAGGCTGAGGTGGTAGAAGGGGGGCATTTTTAAATATTTGCCAAGTATTTATTTAATTTAGTCATAAATCTCAGATTTAATAAAGCCTGTTTAGTTTCTGTGCTGGGCCTGAAGCACTTTTGGGGAATAAAGTCCCTACAGATAATTCTTGCTTAACAATCACAACAATAAAGACGATTAGGGGACTGGAGGCTAAAACATATAAGGAACGGTTGCTGGAATCGGGTATGTCTAATTTAATGAAGAGAAGGACGAGGGGGGACAGGATAGCAGCGTTCCAATATCTCAGGGGCTGCCCCAAAGAAGAGGGAGTATTCTCCAAAGCGCCTGAAGGCAGGACAAGAAGCAACAGGTGGAAACTAACCAAAGAGAGAAGCAACCTAGAACTAAGGAGAAACTTCCTGACAGTTAGAACAATTAACCAGTGGAACAACCTGCCTCCAGAAGTGGTGAATGCTCCAACACTGGAAGTTTTTAAGGAGAGACTGGACAGCCATTTGTCTGAAATGGTTTAGGGTTTCCTGCCTGAGCAGGGGGTTGGACTAGATGACTTCCAAGCTCCCTTCCAACTATTATTATTATTATTATTATTATTATTATTATTATTATTATTATTATGGATCATCGCACAGTCAGCCAGATGTTCAGACTGGATTTGACATTTTGTCTACCTATTGAGTCCTTACTCAGGATTATTAATTAATTAATTAATTAATTAATTGTTCAGTGACTGTTCAAACTTAACAGTGGTACTGAATGAGTGGTACTTACTATGTTTGGTACAAACACATGTTTGCCATTTGGGACTTTTAACTGCCAGCTTCCAATAAGCAAAATCAGTGGGGAAGCTGGTAGGAAGCTTCTAATGGCAACCACAGGATGTTGCACTTAATGACGGCATGGAATTTGCTTAAGGACATCAACGTGAAGTGTTGGAGCTGCCATTGCTAAGCAGCACAGTTGTATGAGGTTGTGTTTTATCTCTGCCTCACTTAGCGATAGCATTCCCAGTCCCAGCTGCCATCATTAACAGGTAGTCCTTGACTTATGACCATTCATATAACAACTGTTTGAAATTAAGATGGCACTGAAAAAAGTGACTTATGACCAGTCCTTGCACTTATGACCATCACAGAGTTCCAGTGGTCCTACAATCAAAATTCAGGCACTTGGCAACGGGCATGTACTTAGGACATGTGCAGCATCCCAGAGTCATGTGATCACGGGCTCAAGGTCGATTCAGCCTTCCATCCTTCCGAAATCGGTAAAATGAAGACTCAGATTGCTGGGGAACAATAGGCTGACTCTGTAAACTGCTTAGAGAGGGCTGCAAAACACTGTGAAGCAGTATATAAGTCTAAGTGCTATTGCTATATACCACTTTCCCAAGGGGCTTCCAACAAGAAGCTCAGTGGGAGAGGCCAAATTGTCTTAAGGGACCATGGCAAAAAAAGCTCTTAAATCAGGCATGACTCAACAACCGCATTGCTTAGTGACTGAATTTCTGGTTCCAACTATGGTCGTAAGTCAAGGACTACTTGGATTAGGTGAGTGTGGGGCCACGCCCACTGATCTTGCTCAGTAATAGTACCTTACTCAATAGTAGTAACTGTGAGAGGGATCTTGGAGTCCTAGTGGATAATCGCTTAAATATGAGCCAGCCGTGTGCTGCAGCTGCCAAAAAAGCCAACACAGTGCTGGGCTGCATGAACAGAGGGATAGAATCAAGATCATGTGAAGTGTTAATACCACTTTACAATGCCTTGGTAAGGCCACACTTGGAATACTGCATCCAGTTTTGGTCACCACGATGTAAAAAAGATATTGAGACTCTAGAAAGAATACAGAGAAGAGCAACAAAGATGATCATGGGACAGGAGGCTAAAACATATAAGGAACGGTTGCTGGAACTGGGTATGTCTAGTTTAATGAAGAGAAGAACAAGGGGGGACATGATAGCAGTATTCCAATATCTCAGGGGCTGCCACAAAGAAGAGGGAGTCAAGCTATTCTCCAAAGCGCCTGAAGGTAGGACAAGAAACAATGGATGGAAACTAATCAAGGAGAGAAGCAACCTAGAACTAAGGAGAAACTTCCTGACAGTGAGAACAATTAACCAGTGGAACAACTTGCCACCAGAAGCTGCGAATGCTCCAACACTGGACGTTTTAAAGAAGAGACTGGACAACCATTTGCCTGAGCAGGGGGTTGGACTAGATAACCTCCAAGGTCTCTTCCAACTTTATCATCATCATCATTATTATTATTATTATTATTAGCATAGCCACGCCCAAAGCCCAACAGAATAGTAAAAGCTGGGTTTTTTTCCCACTAGTTGTCCTTTGTTTCTCCTCTGCAGAAACCATCTGATGAATGGCGTTGTGAAAGACAAGCGGTTGTAGAGGCACTCGCGGGACCACACTTGGGCAGAGCCGAACTCTGGAGAAACCCGCCAGGACCCCTTCATTCAAACTCCAGCCTGCTCAGGGGTGAACCGAAGAAGCACAGAGCTTGCCACCCTTTCCCGCCCAGAGTTGACAGCTAAGCGCTAATTGGGGAGCGATTTACACATTTTCTTTTTGAAGCCCCCTGGAGTTGGAGTTCAAGCTGAATTTCCATTAACAGTGATGGAGTTGGAAGTAGAAGGAGGCCCACAATGCATCATTTGGCCCGGTCAGGTTGGAGCAGGGCATTCACACACAAGAGTAGCTGCTTCCCCCTTCTGGTGCCTCAGTGGCGCCTAGTAGTATGAAAAGTTCCCACCAAGGTGGAGGGGATGAGGAACTGTCATAGTTTTCTGTGGCTTCTGCCCAGCAGGGCCTTCTCTGTGGTGCCCCCAAGGATGCAGAACTGTTCTCCCCCCCCCATGGGTTTAGGATTCCTGATTGGTTAGGAGGAAATAAGGGGGGGGGGGAAATCTCTTCAGAATGTCCAACTGGCAAAAGCAACGGTAGACGAAGGAAAAGCACATGTGCGAATCGATGAATTTTCAGCCTTGCAAATAGGGGTTGAAAAGGAGTATCCCACAATGCCCTGCGGCACTTTTCTAAACCATGTTTGTTTTTTTGCCCTGCCCTTGGTTCCAGTTGGGAGAGGAAAATGCAAGTGATGGTGTTTTGTCTAACCTGTGTATTGGATAGGTTGTATATAAAATAAGGCTTGGATTCACGAGATGGTGGTGTTTTCTGAATTGTGTTTGAAAAGAGGGTTGTTTTTTTTAATACAGAAATATTTATAGTTACATGATGGGTGATGCACCAGTCTATTTTCAGTTTTGCCCGTCCTTCCATTGGACAACCCCCAATTCCCAGAATTCCCTCTATCACTATCGTTCATTTCAGGCAGAGTGGTTCCTCCCTGTCGGAGGCAGTCTATCTCTCAAAATTGAGACATAACTTGGAATGTGAGAGAACAGGAAACTGCAAGCAGGCAGAGCTGGTACCTTACTCCTGGTGATTTTTCCTTGGTGCCATTTAAACTGTTGGGTTGGGTTGTATTTTTTATCATGCTGGCTGAGGAATTCTAGAAGTTGAAGTCCACACATTTTAAACTTGCCAAGATGGAGAAACGGGGAAAAATGTTTGCTGGTGATGAAGACATATGTCACAAACTCAGGGTGGCTATAATCATGTGATTGAAGTTCTACCACCCCCCCCTTTTTTTTTTTTATCCAAACCATAATATAACAGGTTTTAATTACATGATTGTGGACACTTGTAATTTTTGCCACTTTTCTCCCTGGACATCCCAGTCTTAGATAGAATCTACTTTTTTATAATGAGCTACTATATCCAGAAGGTTTAGAGCAGTGTTTCTCAAACTTAGCAACTTTAAGATGTGTGGACTTCAACTCCCATAATTCCACAACCAGCCATGTTGGCTGTGGAATTCTGGGAGTTGATGTCCACACATCTTAAAAGTTGTCAAGGTTGAGAAATATTGTTTGGAGTGTGCTGTGGCTGCTCTCACAAAGGGAATGGGACAACTTGCCATAGTCAACTCACTGCGGAACAATTTAACAATTCTATTTAATTATTTAAAATAAAGTTTTAAAAAATAACTTTTGCCATTCACATTTCATTTTGTCCCTCTTTTTGCATTCTTTAATGATTCTATTCCACCATTTCTTCGATATTAGTGTAACTTTTGTCCCGCAGCAAGTTGGCTGTGGAGAATTGTCATAGACAAGTGATGGCGAACCTTTTAGAGACCGAGTGCCCAAACTGCAACCCAAAACCCACTTATTTATCGCTGGGTGCCAGGTGGGTGCGGCCCACTGGGTGGGCGTGGCTGTGGTGGTCATGGCAGACTGGGTGGGTGTGGCCAAGGTGGGCGTGGTCACCGATGTTGCTTGTGGGGAGGGATGCCTGTGGGGGCCAGGCAGGGTTGGGGGAGATCCAGGGGGTCTCTGGCAGGTGGGGCAGTGGGCAGGAGGCTCGTCCTGCAGGGTGAGACGAGGCAGGGCAGGGGTTCCCTTGTTGCAGGGCAAGGCGAGACGGACCGGGGCGGCTGCTGCCTGACACCATCACGCACACACAAAGGCCAGCGAGCGCATGGGGGCCAACGGTGCCCATCAGCAGCGCATTCGGGCTCTGCAGCCCGCCGCCAACAGTTCAGGGAAGCCACCTCTGAGCTGGATGGCTGGCTGACAGCTGAGGAGGCGATGCAGTGGGTCATGCCCGGGAAAAGGAGAGCATGCGAGGCCAGGAGGGATGGGAGGGGGGAGAGGGAAACCAGCCATTCTGGGATGCATCGGGCCACATGGGACGTCAGCGAGTTAGCAGGCGGCTGGTTGAAGAGGAACGCGTGCCATAGGTTCGCCACCACTGCCATAGACGATTCATATCCTAGTTTTTTAAAAAAGGAGCTCAAGGCAGATTACATGGGTGGGTGGGTGTGTCTGTCTTATCCCAACAGTTTTGTGAGGTAGGCTGTGCTGAATGTGTGACTTTAACCTGTACTTGAGAAGGATTTGAACCCTGCCATCTTTCCTGCTACACCTGATTGGCTGAGAAGGAGGGAGTGTCCCAAAGTCAGCCAATGAACGTCTGTGGTTGGAGGAAGGAATTCAACCTGGATCTCCTCATTTCTGCCATAGTGAAGCACCTTCCCCACTGGATCCAGCTGACGCTTGGATGTATCACACTGCTCAGGCACAACGTTCTTTCCTGCTCTGCTTTATCTTCACATCAGCCCGGTGAAGTTGTCCGAAGAGTTTCATGCCTGAACAAAGATTTTTAAAAGCGTTCTTAGTTTCACCAATAGATCACATAGCTCAGTAGGAATACCTGTAACCCAGTGGTTCTCAACCTTTTTAATGCCGTGACCCCCCAACCGGTCGTAAGTCGAGGACTACTCAACCGGTCGTAAGTCGAGGACTACTCAACTGGTGCAGCACCGTTTGCAGAATGGGACTTTTGGCGGGCTCAGCAGGGCAGAGACAGCCTGGACAATTCCTATTGGCTTTTGAAAGCCAATAGAATTAGACTCTATTCAAGAGAGTCTATTCTATTGGCTTTCAAAAGCCAATAGAATAAAAGGGAGTAGCACAGCTAAGGAAAAGGGGGAAAAAATGGCAGACTGTGTTGTTTGGCGACCCCCGTGAAATGGTCGTTCGACCCCAAATGGGGTCCCGACCCATAGGTTGAGAACCACTGCTGTAACCCCACAGAACTGGCATCCCTCCACATCCCTTCAACCAACCCAAAATACTGATGCAGCTGGCTGCAACTACGCTTTGGGGGCAGAACCACACAAGAGCCCCAAGGCCAGAAGTTAACAGGATTTTTTTGGGGGGGGGGGAGGTGAGACTTCCACAGGATGGAAAAAATCCTGACTTTGATGTCTGCAAAGGTTAGGTGAGATAGATTAGATGAAAAAGAGTGGAGTAGTAGCAAATTTACAGTCTGCAAGATTAGGGCCACAAAGGGCTTTGAAGTGCATAACTAAAGGCTTTTTTTTTTTTTTGCATGGGAATGGGTTGCATCAGGGGGATGTGAAGGTTCATTGCCCCCAAAAGGAGGGAGGCCTCAAAATGGCATTTCTGGAGACATCAAAGTGAGCAAGACTTCCTTTTCAGAGGCTGTGAGGCTGATCAGAAAAGATGCTGGAGTAAGAAATGGGAAGTGCAAGTTGCAATCTGTCCTCAAACTTCAGGTACCTACCTCCTTCCCTCCTACTCCACCTTACCTCATAGGATAATTGTGAGGAAGAAAAATTGAGGATGAGATGCAATATTTCCTTGCTTGAAATCTTAAACTACACGTGATTTAGACACCAACCAAGTTTCTGAAACCAGTTTTGGTGAACATTTGGGGGCAGAGGGATGTTTAATTTCTTTTAGAAAGATTGGGGGGGGGGGAATGATAAGCATGGCCAGATGAGACAGGAGACTTTATTTTTCTCTTTTGAGTTTGGGGTGATCCATTTTTAGAGGTTAGTTTTCATGATGTCGGTTTTTCTTTAAAGAAAAATAGAGCTGGAAGCAATATTGCAAGAGAGCTATGATGCAGTCTCAGATTACCACTTCCTACCACAAGCCTAGTGATTATCAATTTATATACTGCCCGTTTCGCTATTTGGGGCAACTCTGACAATAGAATAAAAAATAGAAATGTAAAAATTTGGACTGCTGTGGCTGTGAATGCCTCTAATCCTTGTTCAGCAAAAGCAAAATGAGAGACAGAACGGCCTTTGTAATGCAAATGGATGTACTTCCCCTTCAGGCAAGTTCATGGTTGTAAAGAAACTACTAAGATTGTTGTGAAAAAGAGGAAGAAAGGCCTGTAGAAAAGGCAGTGATACAACTAGTCAATAAATCAATGTTCATGGCGCTACATTCCTCACAACAGTTGACTTCACAAAATCCTTCCAGAATGGCTGGATTTGAACAAGTCTCTGCAATATGCCATCAGCTTTCTTATCAAGCATTGTCCTTTCTTCACTCCTTCCCTTCAGCCACAACTGTACATATGTAAATTATTCCTTCTTCAGGATGATGTTCTGCATATCTAAATGGACTGTGATTTGCAAACGCTTATCCAATCATAGCATTATTAGGGTGTAAAGTTTCCACAAGAGCCTATCCCTCCAGGATCTTCAATGTGACCTCCTATCTAATCTCTTTTTAAGATTATCTGAATGAAAGATAAAGCAGGAAGCCAGCAAGTTGCAAAGTAAAGCAACAGCCTCGAAGCACACTCTGCATATCCAAAAAACAGCTGCAAAGTTCTTCAAAGGTTCCATCAGCATTTTAAGGGCTTTATTTTCACATTAGACACTGGACCCAGGTTTATTTTTCTCCCATCTTACATACCTGGTACTCCTTGCTCCTATTTTCCCCATAACCTTGTATGGTTTGGGCTGAGAAAGTGACTAGTTTAAAATTACCCAGCTGGCTTTCATGCCTAAAGTGGGGCTAACAGCTTCCCAGTTTCTAGCCTGGCGCCTTAACCATTAGACCAAACTTTTAGCAGGATACACTGGTCACAAACTGGCCAAGCCATAAAGAAAATTAAATCCCAAAGGTATATTGGGGTCTCTTGGTTAGGAAAGCATGCGGCCAGATGCAAAGCTTGGTTTTAACCTTGGTGTATTATGTCTTATGGAGATTGTCAATCATCTGGACTTTCTTGGGGTTTTTTTCCTTTGAAAACATTTTGTATCTCTTCTGAACTGAAGAAGCTTCTTGGATGAGAAGTGAAACAGTTTCAAAGAAAAAAACCAAGGAAGTCCAGTTTCCATTTGGAAAAAGCACCTTTGGGACAACTATGACCTGAATGATTGAGAATCCTCATAGATGTAATACACCAGGGTTAAATCCAAGCCTTGCATCCTGGTTACATGCTTTCCTAATCTGCTTTTGTAATTGGATGGGACACCACCAGAGTCCCAGCCAACACTGTTTTTGCCAAAGAAAGGGCCCATGTGGTGTCAGCACATAGCCAAGGGCCAAGCTCTGTGGAAAGCATTTTTTAAACAGGTTACTATGATTGATGGGTTAATGGTGGATTAATCGAGGTTGTTTCTCTCCCTGATTAGTTTCTATCCATTGCTTCTGGTTCTGAAGGCAGAAGAAGCAGCCACAGGTGCAACTTAATCAAGGAGAGAATCAACCTAAAACTAAGGAGAAATTTCCCGACAGTGAGAACGATTAATGGAATGGCTTTCCATTAGAACTTGTGGGTGCTCCAACACTGGAGGTTTTTAAGAAAGAGCATGGGCAACTATTTGTCTGAAATAGTACAGGACTTCCTGTGTGAGCAGGGAGTTGGACTAGAAGACTTCTAAGGTCCCTTCCAACTCTTATTCGGAACCCCATCTTCAGAGATTAAGGTTTGCTTGTTGTTTTTTACATCGATAGCTAAAGAAGATAGCCATCCAGTCAGAGCTGAAGAAGCTAATAATAGTAGTAGTAGTAGTAGTAAAGTTGGAAGGGACCTTGGAGGTCATCTAGTCCAACCCCGTTCAGGCAGGAAACCCTACACCATTTCGGACAAATGGCTGTCCAGTCTCTTCTTAAAAACTTCCAGTGTTGGAGCATTTACTGCTTCTGGAGGCAAGCTGTTTCACTGATTAATTGTTCTCACTGTCAGGAAGTTTCTCCTTAGTTCTAGGTTGCTGCTCTCCTTGATTAGTTTCCACCTGTTGCTTCTTGTCCTGCCTTCAG